TCCGGCTCCACGGGTGTCTTTCCGGTGTCTTTAAAAGCCTATTATTACACAAATGGAGACAGGTTTCTTTTAGAAGCCTGGAAACGACCGTAACGAAAAGACTTCCTAGGCTCCTCCACCATTTCACGACCCCTCTTTACTAAGTTGAGACTCGTACTCCCACCGCTTCCTCCCATCCCGGAATCCGTCCCCAGAAGGGACCGTGTCCCTCCGCGTCCCCAACCACGCGGCACCGGGCCCCGCCTCACCATGGCTGCGGCGCGGCTTCCTGACCGACTTGCTCCTCGGTGAGAGCGAACAGCGGTGAGTCAGGAGCAGGAGCGGGGCGTCCAAACCTCCGCTGTAACTACGACCGCGTCTTCCTCAAAGAGAAAGGCGTGAGGCCTGCGTGGCGCTTATATAGCTGCGCTCCCGTCTGCATCCGGGTCCCGCACGCGCCTTCGCGCTGCCCCGGAAGAGGAATTGCCCTGAGGGCTCCGGAGGCGGCTGCGCGAGCCGGGGCTGGAGCTCCCGTGGAGTTGGCGGGAAAGACGTGGCTGTGGGTGCCCCCTTTCGGCCGGGAGGAGTTAGAGCCCCTCGAGGTGGCGTCCCCGCCAGAGCGGTTACCGCGGTCCTCTGGCCACCTGCAAGAGATGACAGGGAGACTATGACCTAAAACCTGAGAAACTCCTCTTCCTGGTGCACCTACCCCTGGCCTCTGCAAAGACTCCAGTGGTTTTTACAGTGCAAATGTTGCTTCCTATACAAACCGAATCACTCGTTCTCTGAGCAGGTGGGTAACTTTTATGAGTTTAACTCACGTGGATATTAGGAAAAATGACTGACAACCTGAACGTGTTGTTTTAAACCCTTTTCATAGCCTGAAATACATTTTCGTGATATTTCGCCTTCTGGCTTCCCAAAGCGGCGGATGCATCTGATCCGTTTCTAGAAAGCACCTGAACTTGGGTTCTTTCCCTCCGGGAAAGTGAGGGCAAAAATGCCTGGCTGCCAGGATTATCCTGTGCATCCGGAGGCCCATCCTGGAGACCCAGGACGTCTAAAACATGTTATTTCCCCTCTGTTCGGATAACCTAATATCGGATAAGACCCTTCAAGATCTCCCTAATACTGTGTGTATGGGACAAAGTACAGTGGAAAAACCAAGAGCGGTCAACTGACTTGGGTAGCCAGGAGAGAGAGCATAAGGACACATATACTTAAAGATGACAGAGTGGTTAAGTAGAACGAAATAGGTAAGACCGGTTTTGGTACAGGGCAGAGGAAGAGTAAATAACCTCATGATTTTACAGGTGAACTGCTGAGTGCAGAAGAGTTAATTTGCTCAGACACACAGAACTGGTGAAGGACAGACCTCTGACCCCTCCCATTAGGGCTCCGTCTTGAGCCTTTCTCTTCTGTTCTTTGAAGGGAAATTATACTTAAAACTTTTATCAAATAATAGCATGAACTTGTTTGTTTGGTGATAATTGGGCATAGCTAATAGCTGGCTTTCTTTGGCTCACAAAAGTATGTATAGTAGATTTTTCTGCCGTTTACCAATTAATTTAAATATTAAAGTTTGTATATTTCTAGTTCAGTTATTCTATAGTGTCATCCGGCTGTAAAAAACATATTAGTAATTAGTAGAATTTGCAGCAAAAAATCTGAAAACCTGCATTCTTAGTTTACTAGCTGTAACCTAAATGAGACTTCATAACTTAGGGCTTTAACTTATTGCTATGGCTACCAGTAGGAATGCTTGAGAAGTGTGTTTGTGATTTTTTTTTTAGGAACAAATCTGGTACAGCTATTCTTAGGTTTCCTTTCCCCTTCAAGTACTTGAGAAAATGGTGAACAAATTAACTTCCTTGACCTTAGAAAAGAATTTCAGTATAGAAAAAGGCTAAATGTGGCCCAGCATGTATGGGAAAAATTGTTGATGTGACTAGAACTAAGGAAACAGCTGGTTGAGATAATAGAAAAATGTAATGAAAGCATCACTATTTTCAAATTTATGTTTAGTTGAGACATTTTGTTGTATTTTTCTTTTGAAAGTTAACTGCTCCTGTGGGCCCCACATTTTCATTAAGAAAGTAATGTTCTAACATAACATAAGATATTGGGGAAAAAGTAAAATTAACAATTTATCCAAAAGAAGCAAAGACAGTATGCCATCCTTAATGCCTTAGATCAGTTACTAGATATACGTATCCTTTGGTGGCTTAATCAAAGGATATGCAGACTATAAGATTATAAGTACTTTGCTGTTAAGTAAGTTGGCCTTTGGGAAGGTTACACCTAAATAGATACTTCCTTCAGCAGTGTAATGAATATTTTACTGTGAAAAGGATGAATTAAATATCCGTTTCATTTTAAAATTAAAAAAATATTCTTAAGACCATTGCAAACTCTGTGTTTTCAACATATCTATCCATAGCCTTCCTTTACTGATTTTTGTAGGTCTTTTTAAATGATCTCGTAAAAATTCTCACTGTAGGTATTTGTTCCTTACTGTAGGTATTTGTTCCTTTCTGTGGACAGCCATCTACTGGTCTTTTGCTGCAATGACAGTGTCATCATACTACTCACAAAAGGAAATTAACAGAAGTTAAAAACTACTTAATTCATGGTATACATGTTTTTAGTAAAACAATAAAGGCAAATTTTCCAAAGGAATGTGTTAAGTGTCTGTTTAGACACTTTTATTTGCAGAATTTTTTTATCTAAATAACTTGGTGCTAAAATTTAAGAATAAAGTCTGAAATTTAAGGATAAAAACCAGAAAGAGTTTAAAACTTTCTCTCGTGGTTACCCATGTCTTATTGGTAGGAGAGTGAAATGTGGAGTCAATTCCTTGTGGTTTACAAGGATTACAGGTGAGGACTTAGAACAGTACTGGGAACATGACAGTAGCCAGCACTGTACTAATATCAATTTGTTTGATCCTCACATCAACCCTGGAACATAAGTGCCGTTATTCATATTTTATACATGGCAAAGCTGAGGTTAGGTGGCCTGCCCAAGGTCACAGGAAAAGTTGGTGTTTGAACCTGGGCAGTCTAACTCCAGAGTCTGCACTCTTACCCACTACACTGTGGTGTCTCTCAATATATATTAGCTCTTACCATTATCATTAGTAGTTGTACTTACCCACGAGGTATGGAATCCTATTATGTGGAATAACATAGCATAGGAACGCTCTCTGTATTTTACTACTTGAAGTTAGAAATTTTATTGAGCTACTAATATGTGTCCATTGAAAGACTGAATCCTTATTTTTTAACTCTTTCATTGTTTCGGTTTGAAGTTCTGTAGATACTCAATGCCAGTTAACTCTATTTGCTCATTAAAATCATTTCATGAAAGTGAGTTATGGAACAGAACTAGGGACACAGATCTTTTCATTGAGAATGATTCCTATGGAACTTGCATTGAGTTGGTAATTTTCAATCATATTTAACAGCATATTTAACAGCTCACAGAATTCTCTGTAGGGATAGAAACTGAATGTCCTATCCACCAGGCCTCATAGTACTTCTTTCTCCCCTTTCTTTCTCCTATTCCCAGGCCTGCAGGCCTAGAGATTCTAACATTTCTTGAAATTCCATCTGAAAAATTGGTCTACTTCAGTCACATAGTGCCATTTCCTAGTTTTAGCAGATAACCTGCAGAGGACTCCCATGGTCACACTTTTGTGATCCTGATACCATGCAGGGGAGCCATGGTTAGATTTACCTACCAATCATTTTTTCCCCCGAGGTTGTGTCTTTCATGTTGTTTAGAATTGGTACAACTTTTTAGAAAATACCATTTGCCTCCCTTTATGGAACCTATGGCTTTCACCACACACTAATTCTGTTGCATTGCTTGTGTGGTGGACAGCCTCAAATATGGCCCCAGTGATCTCTACCACCTGTTATTCATGGCCTTGTGGAATCTCCTCTTAAATGTGGAAATGTGTGACTTGCTCTAAATGCTAGAATTTCGCAAACATTCTGGGATGTCACTTCCATGAATAGATTAAACAGGGTTCTATAGCAGACTCTCTCCCTTGCTAGTTTTGATGAAGCAAGCTGCCATATTGGGAGCTGCTAAAGGGAGAGGACCACAGGCAAGGAAATGAGGGTAGCCTGTGGCCAACAGCCAGCATGAACTGAAGCTTCCAGTCCAACAGCCCCCAAAGAACTGAAATTCTACCAACAACCATGTGACTTTGGAAGCAGATCTCTCCTTGGTCGAGCTTTCAGACGAGACCTCAGCACTGGCACCCCTTAAGGTATTACACCTGAGGTGAGTACCTCTCAAGGCCTTGCGCTGGTCCTGGCTCTGATGGGCACGTGTAGGAGAGGCAGATGTAGTGCAGCAAAGGGGGCACTGACAGGAGTTGTGAGGACATGCTTAAGTCCACCGCTAGGACGGCCACCTCTCAGGAGTCATCCCATCTACATGGGCCTTGGTCGTCTCATTGTAAAAGGAGGGTGCTGGACTATGTGATCTTCCCACCTTGAAAGGCTATCGCATGGAAATAAACAAATCCAAGAATATCTCTTCACCACCAACATATTGCCAGACATTCAAGATGGCTTCTGCCTCCTTTGTCCCTCCTTCCTGCTCCCCAACACCAGGGGAACTAGGTATAGAATCCACAGGGGAGGGCGCCTGGGTGGCTCAGTTGGTTAAGCGACTGCCTTCGGCTCAGGTCGTGATCCTGGAGTCCCTGGATCGAGTCCCTGGATCGAGTCCCGCATCGGGCTCCCTGCTCGGCAGGGAGTCTGCTTCTCCC